GGGGGGGGGGGGGGGGGGAGAGAAAAACAAAGAAGAAGGGATCTGATACACGTAAATAAAGTATTAAAACTCAATTTAAACCCTCTTTGGGGATTCAAACAGATTGCGTTGGTAAAAAAGCTTGTTTTAGATTTAAGTAGACTGAAGTAGCTCTTCCTATCCCCTGCGTAATGGGCAACACTGGCAAAACAAGGTCTGTTACAATAAAATACAATAGACACTTAAATAAATAATCTTTAAAAAAAACTATGCAATGTTGAGAGTATGGAAGAACCCAGCAGGCTGCACCTGGAATGGTATTTTCTGCATGAGCGAGATTAGGCATACCTCATACAGAAACTGGTGTAAACAAGGACAGTCAAGAACCGAAAGTGAGGGAGCAGGAAGAGGGGCAAACTGAGAAGAAATCCTGACCGAGGTAGCAGTACTCTCTACCCAGAGCAGAAAGTTCTGCTTTTGAGTAAAACCTGACTGTATGACAAATTAAGTTCAGATGATCATGCAGAAGACAAACAGTTACATGCTTTTTTAGTTTTAGACAACACACATTCATTCCCTAAAATCTGCTGCCAATTTAGTTTGATAGTGTCCGCTGGCTCAAAAAAATTTTTTTTTTTTTACAGGATGAATAGACTATTGAACAGAACACTGTACATGCTTTTTCATCTACAAAAAAATATTTGCATAAAATAGTGTTAGTTCTCTGTACATGTCAATGGACACTTTAACTGTGTATAAAAGAGGAATATATTGCCCCCACTGAAGTCAGAAAAAGCAAAAAAACAAAATCTAGAGTATGAAACCTCCATCACCGGCAAATATGTTCATGTGAAAATTCAGCAGAAATAGACAGTTGCTCTAAACAATAAAAAAATTGATTAAGTTAAACCTTTCCTTTGAATGTAAAACTGTCACCATGTCAGTCAAGACCAGAACATATCACTAAAGTTAGTGTCTGTGCTGTAAAGCCAGATAACCAGGGGCATAGTAATGAACACAAACGGCCAGGAAACTCCTTCGGTGCATGCTGACAAAGAACACGGTTTGGTGGCAGGCCGCACACTATCTTTACCAGGTTCCAGGTAGTTACGGGCCACATATTTAAGTGTTTCATCCAGCAGAATGACAGGTAGCGAGATTTTCAACACCATCAGCCATTGCGTCACATTCAGAGGTGTGATCTGGAAGATAATCTGAAAGAAAAGCCAAGTGTTACTTTTTTTTTTCCCCTCCTCCATCCCTTGCCTTAAGCTCCAATAAGGTTTTGCTCTATCTTTAAGTTTAGAGATGGGTGTAAGATACATGCACTTACTGGCAGCGGTTCCACATAAAGGATAAGGAAGTGGAGTGACATGGACAAGCAAATAGCGCCCACCAGCCAGATATTTTCCCATGGGGGCATCCTCATTAAGGACTGATTTTCTGATAGACTGCAACAGAAACATTGTACTCATAAGATTAATAAGAAATTTAATAAATCAGAAAACTGGAAAGAAAGGCAGCACGGCAAGTCACAAATAAGCCAGTCATGAATGAAAGGAAGATGCCAAGTAGGATTTACATAGGTTGCAACTTTTCATCACCTTGAAACTCTGCCTAGCAAAGGAGTTGCAGTTCACATCAGTCTTATATTTATGAATGAAAGCTTTCAGGCATTCTCCCCATTCCTGATCTAGTGTAGCTTCTGTGCTAAGACTCCAACATCCTCCTCACACGAGGGATAACGGAATGATGGGTCTAATAGCATAAGACAGAATCCTCCCCAGCGTATCAGATGCCTGGGGCCTTCGCCCCCCTCCCCCTGCTTCCCCTGCAATTCACTTATAGCCTGGATATACAAAGGGTCAAGTACTTGACCCTTTTTAATGCTTACTCTTTAAATCTGTTCTCCACACATTCAATCTACACTGAGGCTATTCTGCAGGAAAATTTGAGAACCCAACTTTCAGATGTGGAACAATATCCACGCAGGGCCACTGCATACACTTGTATTCAAAGTTTATTTGTTTTTAAATTAACTGACCTCCAAGTTATCAGAAAAAAAATACCCTTGACATTGTGCTATTTAGTGGTTTCCATTTATAATCTACTATTAATTGGCTGAACCTCCACTCCCTTAGGGCAGGAAAAACTATTTTCCATGTCTTCAACATTCTTATTTTAGTTCTCCTTGATATCACTTTATACCAACATAGGAGGAATATAATCTGATTGATGAGGCTCAAATTAAAAAATAATGGAAAACATTTCAGTTGCTCATGCTTAGTAGAATACCAGAGTGAACTGGCAGATTTAAAAATATACCTTATCATAAGAGATCAAAAGTTATCTAGGAGAGTCATTTTGCTTGCACTACCAGGATTTTGAAAGGAAGGATAACTCATTACTCATCAGCTGAGCTATCCATAAACTAAGAATCAAACTGCAAAAAAGCTATGATTTTAGATAAATTAAGCAGAAGCTTTGCTTTCCAGTTGGGAGATACTAACCTGTTGAGAGCATTGCACATTTCTATAGTGACAAGAACAGAAAGAGCCATTGTCATTGGATATGGAGACTCAAAAACCACACAGTCAACACCAGAGAAATCAGGGTTGTCCTCTTTGCACTGCAGAAAATGGCTCTAGAACAGAGTAACGTGAACTCATTATTTCTACAGTTTAAGTGTAAAATAGGTAATTATGAAGCAAACAGCTTTATAAAAACAAAACATTTCCATATGACTCCTATAAAGGAGTGTTTTTAACTTTTGCCAGCTTCAGAAAAATTCCTGTTAGCATGTATAAAGACTTCTGTAGATGACATTGCTTAGTTCTTCAAATTATTTAGAAGCTTAGGTATCCCACCTTTGAGCTTTAATATTAAGATTAGACAATCATGATAAAATTTAAACTAGTTTGAAAAAAAATCTCTAGCTATGTAAAACATTTTGACAAGCTATTGTTTTTACACATTCATTTCAAGTAATAAGTATAAAAGGAATACATTCAAAAAAAACAATAAACAAAACTGAGCAAATACCAGCTGATAAAAGGTAACTCTTGGACCACCATCAGCAGCGATAAACCACCAAGCAGCAGCACCCACTGTAGCAGCTCCAACATAACCTTAAGGAAAACAAAGTGCTTTTTCAGTGTTGTGAACTCTATGCAAGAAAAGATCTCACTTGCACCATGTGAACTTCTACCTCAAGAGCTCCAAGTATTGAAAAACAGATTTTATTTTGTCCGTCACCTGTGCAAGCCTGTTCCAACAACTGCAGCTTAAACAGCCATTAGAATACTGTGGCGTTGGACAGAATCTGCTATCTGTTTATGGAAGTAGATAGCTGAAACTCAAGGCAAATAGGGGTTTCACTTGGAGTGATCAGCACACGATTTTTTCCCCCCTCAGAACCCAAAGTATCTTAAACATTAATATTGTTTACTTCCTAATAAGCATAAGGTTTATAAAGGCAGCTAGAAAATTAAGGTGACAACTTCTGGTGTGAAGGGAATGTTTGTTAAGTATCCCTGTAGATAGTTATCCTAGCCTCATATTACTACAGCTTTATTCTCCAAAGATTAAATTTACACCCATTGCTTTTACAAGTTGATATTCCTTATTTTCCCAATCACATCAACTAGCCCATAGTGCTCTTCTACTTGAGCAGAAAAAAAAAAAAAAAGACAGTTGTTATTTTCAGATTCAAAGTAGTTCTATGTATGAGCTCAATAGCTAATGTTAGTGCACACACATCAACAGCTGGTCCTGGCTCTTTAATCTTGATCCCAACACATATTTGTCTTTCTCAGCCCCTCCTGAGGATCAGCGCATGGACAAGCTACGATTGCAGTCCTACGCTTTGCGCTGAACAGAAAGTATTTCAGCCTGGAATGGGTCAAATTGGAAGAGGCAGTGATAGAGTTCTTGAGTACAGAGGTCAGACTCAGGCTTAAGTTCAGCTACTGCTGAAAGGCTTCTCTCCTGAAGACTGTAACACTACCTGCCGTCAGACAATTTTGGAGGGCTAATCCAATACAGCAGTTACATTTCTAATGGTTCTCTCGTTCTCAAAAATCAAGAGATTCTGATGAAGTAGCAAGTAACATAATGATGTCATGTAACTAGGGCTTTTGCTGCCTCGGTTGCTACCAATAAAACAGTTAATATCACTTCTGCATTGTACCTATATGCACTAACTGCAAACATATATCAGAGCAAAGTGCTAATCAAAAAAAGGTGGGGGGGAATACCAATTCCACAGCACATCTACTCCTAGCCGTCAAGACTCCAGGCTACAAGGAGATCAGACAAATTAGTTTCAAACAGGTCTCAAAAAAGTCTACATGCCTAAACTTGCTTAAAAATAAATAAAAGCTATCGCTACTTACATCCAATAGCTAGGTAACGGAAGAAGAGCCATCCACTGATCAGTGGCTCTTTTGGGTTGCGGGGAGGCTTATTCATGATATCAAGATCAGGAGGATTAAAGCCCAGAGCAGTAGCAGGGAGACCATCCGTCACAAGGTTTACCCATAACAGTTGGACAGGAATGAGAGCTTCAGGAAAACCCAGAGCAGCAGTCAAGAAGATACTATAAAAAAAACCCACCAACCAATTATTCTTGTGCATGTAAGAAAGTCTTTTACACCTTTTGTATCTCAAAACATAGAACCAGTTTTAAGTATCTAGGCTCCAAGGTGGAATACTATATGCAATGCAATGCTCATCTTTTGCAGTACACTAAAATTCTCCTTTAAATACTACTAAGGCTACAAGTATATGGGCTTCTGTACCATCACAATGAGTAATCACTTGGAGAACCTGTTTTCCTGGTTTTAGGGAGAAATATTGGAAGCTTAACAAAAAAAAAAAAACCACCAAACATTACTACTCTAGCACAAAGAAAAGACGGTCTTAAACCTACCAAACAACTTCTCCAACATTGGAGGAGATCAGGTAACGGATGAATTGCTTCATGTTGTTATAAATTGCACGCCCTTCTTCCACAGCAGCTACAATAGTTGAGAAATTATCGTCTGCTAAAACCATTTCAGAAGCAGTTTTAGCCACTGCAGTGCCAGATCCCATAGCAATTCCAATTTCTGCTTTCTTCAGTGCAGGAGCATCATTGACACCGTCACCAGTCTAAAACAAGAATTTGAAGTTGAAAAGACAAACGTGGACAATCGCATGCAGGACTGGATAGGAATTTTACATTGGGCATGGCATTTTAGATCTTTAAAATCAGCTACATGCAAAACCATTCTGAGGCTTTGAGTTAAGGGGAAACATGGAAGAAGTGTTTTCCCAGAGTGAGGCATTTGTCTCACCATTTGTCACTCACCATAGCTGTAATCTCGTCAAAAGACTGAAGAAACTCAACAATTTTAGACTTGTGGGAAGGTTCTACCCGGGCAAAGCAACGGGCATGGTGGCAGGCATCTCTCTGGGCAGCTAATGAGAGTTCATCAAATTCACGACCAGTAAAGGCTTTTGTAGAAACATCTTCATCTTCCACAAAGATACCAATCCGACGGCAAATGGCTACTGCTGTGCCTTTGTTATCACCAGTAATCATAATAACTCTAATACCAGCCTGTTTACACAGCTTTATAGATGAAGCTACTTCAATTCTCGGAGGATCCAGCATACCCACACAACCAACAAAGGTCAAGTTGGTCTGAAACAAGATAGCACAGAGTTTTAGAACAGAATTCAGCAGTCTTCCATCCGAAATTCATAAAATAATTTTTTACTTGCATGCTAAATATAAGTCCTAGCATAACATCATTTGTTTTTCCTTCCTCCCACAATATTCAGTGGTTCTACACTGAGCGATTAAACAGTGAGGCCTGCTACTCCACCATTTGGTCAAAATCAGCATTTTATACATGATATGCTTGCTCTTGCTAAGTCAGTTTTCATTCTGAAAGGGTTGCTTTAGAGGAGTTCTGTTTCACCACAGTCTTCACAGCGCTTTAGCTCTGACACTTGATTCAGACAGCTTGAGAACAACTGAAAGGTCACAAGTTCAAGGCACCTTAACAAACAAAAGAGGGAAAGGTGGAAGGCAATGCTTTTGGAGTCAGAGAATGCTACACGGCACTTCCTACAGGAGAGGCATACAGGAGGACAGATAGTCAATTCCCAGAGTGTGACCACACTCTGAAATGGGATTGTACATTCCCAAACGTCTCTTCCTTCAAATATGCTAACTTCAACAGTTAAGAGGCAATCTAGTTGTCAGCCTTGCAATGCAACCTGCAAACAGTCAAGTGTGTCCTCCCCGCCCCGCTCCTGCAATCAGTGCCAGGAGCGCAGCGTACAAAGCCAAAACTACCATGCAACTATTGTCATTTCACCACTCTAAATCCTAGATACAGATCTCATTGGAAAATTACAAAGTAGCTGAGAAGATAATCGTGGACAGAGTTTTTGCAGCTGACAGTGTGGAGGAGGGGAAGCGAGCCTGCCCTTCAGAGCACAAACGGACAGTTATGGTTTCTTCATAAAATCCCAAAACAAGTCTAGCAGTTGAGCAATGTCAAATTAGAAACCACTACAGCTGAAACTGCAATGCAACTTTTTTGTAAGATTTTTCAGAGTCAGTCTTTAGAAACAGTTTAAGGTGATATGATCCTATATCCTATATATAAGGACATTATTTATGTATCTAAATATAATAGTATGATTGGCGAGTGACTGTTTTGCTGATATTTATACTTTTAGCCAAGAAGCAGCTGTATGCCAGCCATTAAGAACAAACAGGAAGTCTTTTTTTCTTTTGAAATCCAAAATAAACTGGGGAAATAGAGTAGGGGTTACAGGTATTGTATAGTAGACAGAATACACCCAAATTTTATCCCTTTAGTTTCTTCACAATAGCATATATAGCTATTTAAATTAATGTTTTCCCCCCACAGATGTGGGTTAACTTTTGTGTCCAACATCAAACACATCTGTTAAGACAAAATTCTCAATCTAACTTCCTCAAGTCAGTCACCATTCCCCAGTTTGCGAGAGAGGGAAGCGATAAAAGGAGGTTTTACTAAGCTAACCTCATAATTGATGAAATTTGAGGAGTCCTCAAGATTCATTTCTTCTTTTCTGGGTGGATTGTCATGGGTTGCCAGAGCCAAGCAGCGTAGTGTGTCTCTGCCAGTTCCCCACTCTCTAATAACAGACATTATTTTCTGCTTAATTCCTGATGTTAACGGTATTTTAGCATTTCCAACACGGACATGTGTACATCTGTCAATTACACCTTCAGGAGCACCCTGCAGAGACAGAGATCAGTTTTATAAATCACTTTCTGTCCTAACACGCGCTCAAATTACAGAACTCCACCTTCAAGCTGCAGTTAGCTTTGCCGTAACTTTTAGTGTTGTGCTGCCTTTGCAGCCATTTCATAACTGCACGTCTCACGTGTGGAGCTTACCTTAACAAACATCTTGCTCATGGATGTGCGGCTTGGTTTGTTCGGTGTGCAGTAGACAGACATTGATTTCCTGTCTCTTGAGAATTCTAGAGTGAACTCTTTCTTCATAAGTTGTTTTATCACCTTATGAAGGAACAATAGCATAACAGTATATTTAGATAATATACACTATAACTGCCTCCCCAATAAATTCCAAATAGAAGAGTACTGACCGAGTTGCAAGCATTTGCACGTTCAATTCTAGAAAGTCCTTTCAAGTCCGTGTCAAATACATTCATCTTTTCAACCAGGCAGGTAAGTGCCGTCTCTGTGGCTTCACCAACTTTTTCATATACTCCCTTAGCCTTTAGTTAACACAAAGCAAACATATAAAAAAACATAGGAGTTTACTTTAAATCTCACCATGGACCTATCAGAGATAAAGTTAAGTTTCACAATGAAAAGAAGTGCTTAACAGGTCTTACTACAGCTTATGAAATGCTCAAAGCTATTTTTAAAAAGCAACTTTGGAGTATACAGTTTATATGAAGCTTCAAGCCTTTCCTCTTAAGGCCAGCAGAGAAGGATGTCAATGTTTTCTCATGAATTAAGTGATGATGAGTTGTAGCAATTAAGGAGGCAAGGCAATGAAGTAGCCACGCAGTCTACACAGCAAGACATCTCCAAGTTTCATATTACTCTTGCTGTTTGAGCTAAGTTTTCTCAGTGTTAAACAAACAATTTCTTCTTAGAATTAATACTTCAGAGGACCCAAATAACTCTCCCTTGAATAGAAGATTTACTACTGAAAGTTGTTACATAGACAGATGAGAACATTTATCCTCGTTTTCACAATTTTCACACTCTCTTCTGTTCTGATACACATATACTTACTTCATTGTAATCCAAAGAGGAGTCATTGCAGAGCGCACAGATCGTTGCAAGTTCCACAAGGCCATCATACCGGCTACATTTAATAAGTTTGTCATCTTTATGCCTTTCCAATGGAAGAAAAGGAGGAGATTTAAGTCAGCCACCTAGTATCAGCATCTCACCTCTTTCCCCTCTTTAATCCCTTTACTGTATTTCCACTTAGCACAATGGTTATTAGTTATGGCCACGACACTACAGAGATCACCAGAGAATTTGTCTACCTTGGAAAAAGAACATACTCCTATTAGAAATTACTGAGAAGAGTTGATTTTATAAAGGGGAGACTTGAAGTTCAGGGCAAACAGGCATAAACAGAATGACAAGATTATCCATGAAAGCAATACTTAATTACAAAACCATATTTCCTCCAATAACAATTATATTGTAACAGAAAACAGAAATAAAGAGCTTAGCGAAAGAATATGAAAGCAGTATTAAAGAGTACGCAGGACTTGAGGAGTTCCAAGGAGAGGGATATGGCTAGATAAATTAGGAGTTTACCTTCGTTTTACTGCTTTTTCTGCAGATTTACTGCTATGCATGGATTGGACAAGCAAAAAGCAGATGACTTGGCATTTTCAATTTCTTAAAAATTAATCTGTACTATATATGAACCTTCTAAACCAATGAAAAGCTAAGTCATTTCACAATACAAATTGTATTATTCATCATGAGGTGTGTGACTACCAGAAGAGAGTAATATAACAACTTTAATTAAAGCCCTTGGGGGGGGGGGGGGCAGGAGGAATTAATGCTCCAAAAGTATTAATGCTGCATAAGAATTAATAACATAGCCTATGACGTGTCTGATTACATAAGCCTTTGCTCAGTCTTTTAGTATTACAAACAATTCCAAGGTTGTATAACATAGTGTGCGAGTAAAAATTATTAAAAAATGTACTTGTTCTTTTAAGCATCATTTTGCATATAATTCTACAACCATAAGCAAAATTTAGTAATTTTATGCTCTTATCTCTTTCAAGTTCTCAGTAGCTCTCCATTTGTCAGTCTCATCTACCACAGCTTATGCTTCTTGTTTTCTCCTGTCCTGAACTTGAAGACAACTAGCATATTTGAATATTCATAGCTTGATATGCCAGTTTTTTCCTGCCTACCTGCTGTTCCTTTATCATACACAATTTCTGAAGAACGGCAAAAGCACACGGAATCCGAGTTGCTGGGTCAGTTCTGGGTGAAGGGTTATTTCCCCACCCTCGTTAAACTTCCGGCTTTTAGATTAGCAAGAGGTTAATTCACTTGACGTTCAAATACAATCTGCTAGCTTTTGCTGCAGTTTCCCCTTAATAATCATTGTTTTGTGCCATCAGTTTGCAAGCACGCACATTGTTGAACAGTTTGAAGAAGTTCTGTCAGATATAAGCCTACAATTTCTTAACCAAGAAATCAGTAGCTAAGAAATTTTAGTGTTTCAATATGGAATTTTGGTAATATATACTCCAAATGCATCTTTGAAGGCAAAGTTACATATCACGTACTTTGAAAGTGAAAAATTATTGGTTTATTGCAAAAATATACTTAGGAATTACAGTAGGCTGTCTAAGCAGCTGTTGAGAAAAGTACTTGAAGTACAGGAAGACAAGCATCCGTCAGGAATGGGGTACATGTACACCAAGTCCTGCTTTGGGGCAGTGCAACAGATGAGATGACTTCTTAAGGCCAGTTACAAACTTTATTTTCAGTGACAGTATGCAATCCAAGGTGAAGTCAGTCACAGAAAAAATGCCATCCATAAACACTGAAATACATCAGTTAGCTTTAAAGGCTAGAGCGTTCAGCTGTTCATTTTCCTGACGCTCCAAAACAGCTTTTCTATGGTAATTTCCCTTCCACAGAAGGTTCTTTATGTACGTAAATGCAGCGCTATTAACATGCTTTTTCACATTTCCCAGTTTCAGCAAGTAAAATAGAACATTAACATACACTGATGACTGTCTTATTATACTTGACATCTGTCACTATGCTATATTTTATTATTTTGTTTATCTAGAGCTCTTACGAGACCAGCTAGAGCATGATAGCTGGATGCTTGACAAGATCTAGAATGTCATCTTGCTTAAGTAAAATTCTGTCTCTTGAAATGAAAGCCTAAGCTTTTGACAGCAATTAGCTTTGAAACAACAACAACAGAAAAAAAAACAAAACAAAAAAAGACTTGGGGAATTAAGATTTCCATCTGCTAGGAACACTGTGGTCTTAACTGCTATGGAAATTAAACGAAGATAATCACTTCTAAGATTGCTGAAGACTGCATGAAGTCAGAGGGACACATGTGAAACTCCAGGTGGTTTCAAGATGTTTACAATAATGGAATCTATTTTGGCTTCACGCATAGGAGAACTCTGTAGAGGCTCTGCTTCTAGGAGCAGAACTATAAAATTCCTAAGTTGTCAAGATGAACCACCTATCCCATTGGTAGAGACTGGCAACTGAGAAAGGAAAACATGAACGTATCTTTCCTTTCCAAAGTGCGTGCATTAACAGGAACCCAAAACACCAAAGGCTGAGACGAAACTAACAGATCTGTCTTTAGTACTGAAGCACTGAGGCCCCATAACCTTATCGAGAGTAATTTAAAGTAGATTTAAGGACCACCTGCAGCACATTAAAATAACTAACCTAAGTCTAAAAAAATCTGCAGTAAAATAAATCCTCTCAGCCTTCCCCAACTTATTTTTAGATTATTAGGCATTGCAGTACTGAATAATGTAGAAAATAAGGTTTTCACATGAGAGTTTACTTTCCTAGAATTTAATCTCCTTTTACTGGTCATTACCATTCCCCCTAATCCTTCAGTCTGTCCTCTCACTGGTTGAGAAACATCCGTTTATTAGCAAGTGTTATCAAATACTATACGCATCACTTTCCAAATCTGTAGCAATAGTCAATGGATAAACAGATAAATATTTAACTTCAACAAAACACTTACACTTCTCCCATGGGAGCATACGTTGACCCTGTTACAGTAAATTCGTTCAAAGAACAGCTATCTCCTTCTACTCGGTCCAGGACAAACATCTGAAATTAAAATTAACAGTATTACTGCCTTTAAATCTCTTGCATTAAATGTTGTTCAAATGGGCTTAATTTTAAGCAAGCAGGTACGAGGAGCAAGTCCTCAAGTTCAATAAGCAACTTAGACAAAACAAGATATGACACTGACCGAAATTCAATCCCATACATGTTTGAATAGCTCCTGGTATTTAAGCATGAAGTACAGAAAACAGCACTTCAATTTTCAAATGAGGTGCATCTAACAGTTGTGGCACAAGTAGATCAAAGAGTTGAAAAAATACACACACTGCGTACAGCATTAACTTTAGCTGTGAGGCCTACTCATATGTTCAGCTGACAATATTGACCCTAGCAAAAGTTTTTCCTAGGCTTCAGACTTGTAAACTAATTTTCATGTATGTTTGAAACAGCAGTTCCAATGAAAAGCAGCATAGGGCAGCTTGGGAAGAGACAGTTTTTGCAAAAGCAAAAATACAAAGCATCTACAAATAGTAGAAGCAGCTTCTAGATGTAGGAGAGGAGGTTGTAGGCAAGAGCTGGACTATGGTGAGTTTCCCTTAATACCAGCCACTAAGTGAAAGCATTTCCTGTCTTTGTTTTCTGCTCATACGTCATTTTGCCATCAGTACACTGCTAGATTAGAAACATTCAGACAGCTCAAGGCTGTAGCACAGACTGGAGTGTTATTTTCAAGTGAAGAATATGCTAATTTGAAGGATGCATTTGTACCCCATAAGGCATCTGCATCTCTTAATCTTTCCTTTGTTTCCTGTTTCCACTGTAGGAGAGCTGCAGACAGAACCAAATCTGGGAAGACAGAGATTTAAAAAAAAAAAAAAAAAACACACAACACAACACACACAGTGCCTGAAGTTGTGATATTTCATCATGACAAACGGCTACTCTATTGAACCATCCACCTTGCTGGAGCAGTAGTAGAGAAGAAACAATGACTCATTGATTGACAGTATCCCTTATTAGATCTTATTACTAGCTTGTTAGTATAAATCATTTTGCCATATCATGTTTTAGCAATGTCTCACTTTCTCTTCATTGTGCTGCCTTATGTTTTAGGCACGCATCTTCACAAAACATAGCCTAATCAGGTGATTAGCAACTGATCTGCAGTAATATCTGGAGACCTTATAGTCTCCAAAGTGGTTTTAAAAATCAAAAAACTAAACCAGCAGATAAATTAAAAACCCACAAGGCAGCGTCACTGCATTCTGGCCAGAGGCAGACACCAACAGGAAGATAATAAAGAGACAGCATGTCTTCCCCTGAAGAAGGGTCCCTTTCAACTGAAACATTTTAGTATAGGGTTCCTTTGAACACTTAGGAGTTACTACTTAACATTATGATAAAGTTAAAACTCCAGACAGAATTACTGTTGCAGAAAAGACTACCTCGAAAGCTAGGTAATCTTTCTGCTTAGCCTGAAACCAATAATAAGTTAGGATTTTGCTACTTCTTGCAAACTCTTGCAATTGAGGTTATTACGTAGCTGCCACAGATATCAAGGATGTAAGTAAACTGTACTGCACCAAATCTACTCCTTATATTTGGAGGACCCAAGTATTTTAGAGCATTCTGAGCTTTTAAATAAACAGCTCCAAAGGTTTTCAAATGAGAGTTAACAAGGAAGCTGCCTGCTTTTGGCATCTGTGTGACCAAAAAAACCCTGCAAAGACTAGGGCAGTTATGCAACTCTACTGCAAGTAACCTCCTCTAGAATATTGATGAGCAGCTGCTTTGTGTCTCTTAGGTATAAATACTACAAGGCTTAAGCAAGCAGAACAAGTCAACCACCAATTAAAAAGAAAGAGCCAATCACGTGAGAATAAAGAGTTTAGGACTTAAACTTTTGCCAAAAAACAGTGGTCTGTAGTGCTCAACATTTACATGTTTGTAATTCTAACCCAACGTAATGGCTCTCAACAAACATTTGATGTCAGAGAGTTGCTATGCTGCTGATCATCTACAATTATTCAACTAAGAACTTTACGTTTTCTCCATAAAACTCCTACAGGGAATTTTAAGCAAATGAGAAGCACATAAAACTGGCAACAGAACATGCACCATGTCAAGTGACCAGCTATACACGTCCCACGTTAAATCAGCACTAGAAAGAATATCGGGGTAAGGGAGGAGAGGCAAGAAGAGACAAGAGCTACAGGACTGTTATGCTAACCTAAAAATAAGCCATGCATTGAAGGCAACCCAGGCAATGCAGGTGGTGGTGTCAACTGCATCTCCAATTTACCATATCAGTCAAAGATTACATGTTGAAAGCACTACAGTGATCTACGTCAGAGCAATAAGATAGCCAAACAAAGGTGGAGTTGTTCAGCAGTGAAAATAACCTCAGACATCCAAGCTGCTTCTAGTAAAGCTTCCACCCTTTTCTCACTGTTAAGATTCTCCACCACTGAAACACCTCAGAGAGCATACAACTTCAATGTAGCGGAGGCAAGTACCAATAAGTTACAGGAGTGAGGTTAAAAAGAAACAAGACAAAGCGGTGTGGAAGAGTACTGAATTTCCTGTCATTTCAGACTTCCATTTAATGCTGGTTCCTCATGTCCCCACAAGCCACAAGACAGAGCTTGAGAGGGAATGGGAAGATTGCTCCAGATTGAACTAAATCAGAAGACAGACAGCAGTCACACGCTACAGAATATTCTGCTTCATGGCATTATCTTTCTATGGAAAGAGGTCAAAGTGTTCTATACTCACATACCCCCTTCTATAACACAACCTATCTTATCTTTCTGAAGCGGTGGACAAATCATACTAAATAATTAGCATTAGACTAAATGGCTTAAGATAGCAAACGGAAAGCTGCTTGCAAACAATTTTTCTTCCATCAAGTGCGGGTACGGCTATTTTTGGCCATGATTAAATTAAGGGAAGAGATAAAAGCCTTAAACACTACACGCTGGAACACTGAATTAGAAGTGGAAGCTTATCTTAGGAAAATAAAGCAAGATTTTGATGATATGAGAACCAGAAAACTCATGATCAAAAGAATTCGAGCAATGTGACTATTCAGAGCGGCTGAGGAGAGAAAGAAAAGCAGAGGAAGTCCGTTCAACATACCCTGCAAACTGACATCTGATTCGTGGTCAGAGTACCAGTCTTGTCAGAACAAATAACCGAGGTGCACCCCAAGGTTTCCACTGAGGGAAGACTTCTAACGATAGCGTTCTTCTTGGCCATTCTGCGGGTTCCAAGAGCCAAGCAGGTGGTAATGACAGCAGGCAAACCCTCAGGAATAGCAGCAACAGCAAGAGCAACAGCAATTTTAAAGTAATAGATAGCACCTCGAATCCAGGAGCCACCATGAACTGGATCATTGAAGTGACCGATGTTTATTATCCAAACAGCAATGCAGATAAGTGAGATGACTTTAGACAGCTGCTCTCCAAACTCGTCCAGTTTCTGTTGGAGTGGAGTTCTCTCTTGTTCAGTAGCCACCATCTCATCACGAATTTTGCCAATTTCGGTGTTTACTCCTGTTGCAATAACCACTCCCATAGCTTTACCAGCAGCAATGTTAGTACCCTAAAGTCAACCAAGGAGAGGGGAGAAAAAAATTTTTTAGTGAATCTGTAAACATACTGCCTTGCAACAGGCCTACTCCAGATTCCAAGATTAATCAGAACTTGATCTCAGCAGAAAGTGCTAGATTTTCTCTCTTATTCTGGCTAATTTGTGAGGCAGTGATCATGTGGTTCACATATTCCATTCTTATCAGCTTTGATAATTTGTTTTGGATTCTGTTTTGACAGTCATTCTTTCAGAACTTGGGAAAAGAGAGGAAAGGAGCACCAGTCCTTAAAGAAGCATCATTAAACTCCACTTTTTTTTGGTTTACTCTCTCGCTATAACAACTAAATACAATACTTTAACACGATCAATCAGACGGAGCAGACACATCAAAACTAGCACGGCAAGGAAATCCATAATGAAATACCCCACAGCAAGAGCCAGGCTTGGATTCCTGCAAAACCTCATCTATTACCCTGCTCCTCACTAAATCAATTTGTCTAATAAACTGCTCTGCGCCCTCTCCACAAACTTTACCATCCTTTAGATTATAAGCAGTACTTAAGAATACTCTCCAGTTCATAATTCCCAAAGGATTTTTTGTTTGAACATACATGCATTATCACCATTCTTGTATCTGGGGACTACTTCCTGTTGCAAATACCTTGTCGCAAAACACTTGTCTTTTTAGAAAACTAACCTTTATTGAGACAGTGGGTAGAAAACAGGAGGAGTTGACAGGAAGCTTGACACACTATAAGGGCACATGTCTTTCCTATCAAAGGCTTAAAGATACAAAGACTGGAGTTGTTGCTGTCTTGCACCATTTTAACGTTATTTGGTTTACAGAAGTCAAGTCAAACTTTTAAAGCCTAGCCTGCTACAATAAGTCTACAACATAAAACAACAACAAGCTAAGAATCCTCATGCAAGTAACAAAATAAGAGATTGAGATTCAGCTAGGACAAGCAAAAAAGGTGGAAAAAAACCAGGGAAAATGCTTTTCCCCCAGTGTTTGCAAGACACTCAATATTCTAGCATAGATTTTCTGTTTACAGAATGGGCTCAAATTGAATCAGTATTGTCCTACTATACGCAGCAGCATAACTAAACCCAGCAGCTGAGTAAGCAGAATGCATTTCCACTGGAATAATTTAAGGACTTTTTTTTTTTAATCTGGCAAAACACAATCCTAATAAGGGTATTTACTAGGAGTAACAGTTGTGTTCCGTGGGACTCCTTGTATGAACATGCTTAACATGAGCAAGAACAATCAGATTCTCTACAAGAAATCTACCAACAATAAGAGAATTATTTCAATATCTGAAGACAAGTAATATCCTTCGAATTGTTCCATGAAACTAATCTGAATAAGCCATTTCATAACTGTGGTATTATGTAGCTAAAACTGAGAAACAGCTAAGTTGGGTATTCTTATCAATCTTAAGAAAGATTAATTTAGAAAAAAAACAAATAGCTATGTATTTTGGGGGGGGGGTTGTTTGTTTGTTTGTTTTGTTTTTTTAAGTGCAGGCACTCTTAACACTTTCCTGTGAAGGACACAAATAAAGTTTCCCTATATAAATTGGTTTCAATAAGCATCCTCTCTGAAGACACCTTATAATAGAAGTTCCTTCTAATTTCTAAATCTCTGAATTCGATGCACGTGGTCATATGCATACAGAATACAGCAAGGAAGTCAATACAGCTTTTAGGTGCAGATCTAAAACTCTGCATATTTTCATTTACCAGCTCCTGCATTATTTTACATTGTTTTAAAAGTTCCAAAACATACAACTTACAGAAAAAAGCATATTCTTCTTGTCTTGGTTTACAGCACGAGGATCGGGCACAGGGTCAGTATGTTTAATAACAGATACAGATTCACCTAAAATGAAGATTATACAGAGATTATACACAACTTTTCATTTCCCTACTGAACAAGATTATACCCTCTTCCGTCCTAAAAACTTCCCTTCATATTTCCTCCTGTGACTTTACTTAATCACCTAGGTGAAACACAACATTTCAGTCGATCAAAAACATTGAACAGCTATCTTTTAGTGAAAATAGGATAGCATTTAATTAAAATAACCATTTTGTATGGTTAGAATTAATGAAGAATACACCTTTACTTTCAAGGGACACGAAAGTGGTCAAACAGCTGATACTCCACATTTTAATACAGCAAGATCTACCACATGAAGAGTCAACACTCAAGAGTATTTCACCAGGATCTTTTTACTCTAGAATGTTAGTTTGTGTACTTCTCATGCAGTAACAAGTATTTCTGTTCCCTGTACGTTAGATGAGTTGTGTTCTCATTCAGGTAAGTAGATCCTACCACTGTTACACATTCTCTGGCAGGCCTTACATTTTTCTACTAATTTTTATTATCTCATGCAGTCAACTGTCAGTTACCATCTTTAGTTGGAAGTCTTCAGAAAACTGTTCCATAAAAATCTTAAATACAGATCCATTTCTGTGAACATGTCATACAGGAATAGAAAGTTTTCTTTTCTATAAGGATAGATTTTAATGACTACATCAAATTTCATAAGGGTGGTAACTCAGTGCCTGAAGCAAAGAGCATACTTCAAGAGAGTCAAAGCTTCCTATCAAAAGCCTTGATAAATAACATCTCACACTTCTGTCCTTTAACTGTTTGGAGACCCAAGCATTAACTTAAAATAGTCTGGAAACAAAAAACGAATTTGGGAGGGGGGAGGGGCTGGGAGAATCTGTTCAGTTATTTAAATATAGACATTGAACCATTATTCCCTTTGTTAGAGACTTCTGGTAGATGTTTTCTTCTCGTTATTTCAGTTCTGATTGCTTGACAAAACAGGGACTGCCTACATTTTCACATGCTAAATATAAGTAAAATTGAGACACTCGCTCAGAGGTCAGCAATACATCAGTCCTATGCTATTCAAGATCTGTACTGAGAAACTTTGGAGCCTGCTTCAAGACAGACAGTGATCAAGACTAAGTTTTTTGATGAATAGTTTATGGTTTTAAAATTCAGGGCTAGTTGACGTTAACTTATGCTACCAAAACAGGCAAACAGATCTTCGAGTTCCAGCCAAGAGAAAAATTGTTGTAGCATGCTTGGTTGCCTCTTAGTTTCTTTCCTATACTCAGAAGTAGCATTAGGTTGTTTTGCTTTCAACAAATCTGAAAAGTGCTCTAAATATAGCTCCTATATTCCAGAGCGAGTATCAGAAGACGCATGAATGTGCGTGCACAGAATTTCAGCAAATAAAGTTTTAGTGTACTCAGTCTTTAATAACAGCAACTCAAAAGCTGCCTGTATTTCAAGTGTTATCCATTTCTGTCTCACAAGAGAGAATAATAAGCATCACAGAAGGCAAAATTCATTTAATAAATTCCCATACTTCCTTCATATTTGAGCAGCAACGAAGACGTTCAAATATAGAAGACTTCATAAACTGGAATAGAAATTCCTAATTTTTAGTTCCCCACAACTTTACTAGTGTCTCTAGTATCATCTAACATCAAAAAAGCACTGCAAGCCTCAGTGAGAATGTTCAACCCATGAAACTGAACATACAAAGCCAAAGACCAAGAAATACATTTAGCCACTTCAGGATTTAAGTTATTAGACTGGAAACGTACTGTACTTGAATGCAACACATCGAATAGCCACAGGCTTGTCTCTAAGGGACTATTCCAAACAAACAGTGAAAAGGCATTTTCAAATATGTGCATAATTATCCAAAAATCACAAAAGCTATACCTGTGAGAATTGACTGGTCTACCCTTAGAGTTGTAGATTTAATTTCTCAAACTGCAAGAAAACAAGTAAGAGAACGTTAGAATGCAATTATTTGAAAGACTGAGGACTAGACATAATATTACCTCTTTCAGTCAGGAAAATGATTTTCTAATAACTGTTCAATTGACTAATAGCTGCTTTCAGCTTTTGTGGATTGACATACTTTAATTGTATGAACATCCAAGATTTCTTAGGCGATTTAAACTTGTCGTCAAGATCTCTACCCCAACCCAGCTTCAAAACAGTTGTGATTCACTATCTCTTGTTCTTATATCACATGACTACCATTTGATAGCAAAGGGAGAACATTCTCAAGAGAAAGATATCAATTCCAGAATACATATCAAAAAAACCCTGCAGCTAAGATGAACCAAGTTTCCTTTTCAGAAGGACTGCCCTGGCAAATCTCCTGGTTGTTTTCTTTGGGTCAGATGTGACAGCCAGTCTTCTGCCATCCAAAGATCAGAGAGTCATCTGCATTCATTCATTTTTAGACTACAAGAAGTTGTATTTTCTTCCTCTTTGGCATCAATTGTGAGAATAATGCGCTTCCACAAGTCTGCTGTTTAATGTTATACCCTGAATACTGCTATATTATTTTTAGAGTTGGAAGTTAAATCCTAATTGTATGGTAGCTTTTTTTTTTTTTTTAAATTACAGTAATGCTACTCACAGTCCAAAACCCAGTTAAAATTTTGGCAGAACTCTATGCTGTGTTTATCTTGTCTTATGACATTTACTTCTACTTTGTAGAACACAAAGAACACTGAGGAAAGAAATCCCCCTCGAGCAAGCGTTCAAGTTGCTTCCCGACATCAAGGTAGCAGACAGAACAAGACGTTAACAGGACGCTCCTAAAGATGGCAGAGAGTAGGGGCTGGTTGCCAGAGCTGCGTAGCCAGTTTTTCTCCAGCATCTTTATTGTCACTGAATTAATTCTCCACTTTTCTATTCTCCTTCCTCTGGCTTTTCCTGGTTTATAAGACAAGCAATAGAAAAACCAAAAGGTCCACAATTTTGAGACCAATGGCAAATAAGTGGTTATGTACAGCAAATTAACTTGTTAAATGTATGTGTCACAGTTCTGACTCGTGCGGGGGGGCGGGGTAGGGGGGTGTCTACATTCTACCTGTCAGTATTTTTAACAAACACGTATAATCCTATTCCTAAAGTGGATTTAGCAGTGCAAGCATTAAGCATCAACTTCATTTTTATTACGAAATAACGCATACAAAACAAAGGAGGGAGAATACTTTGATCACTAGCTAATAAGATCTGATCTTGTCAGTAGGTGGACTCTAATTTGTCCCCACAGTAAAATGAAAACAAGCTCCAATTCCTGCAGGAATCACTTATGCAACGATCAGCAACAATGCACATTACCAAACAATGCCAGGAGAACGTTCGGAGCGGTGCTACAACCTTAGAACATACAACCTCTCGGACAAAAATTATGGAACAGAAAGGTGATGAGAAGCATTAAGCGCTACTCTGAACTTCCAGTGAAGTTGCTCTCCGTGACTTTTCATAAGGCCAAAAAAGCCCCAGCCACCATCAAAAACAGCAAAAGATCGAGTAGTTCGGCTTCAAGGGTCTTCTTGTAAACATTATGTATATGAAGGGGTCCAATAAACAGCCACAAATTCCCTGTTTGTATCATTATAGCATGTGAAAACTAATTTAAGCCACAATGCCCTTGAGCAGCAAGGGAAAATAGCATTAGACAAACAGTGACCTAGGCCAAAAATGGGAAAACTATTCAATGTTCTCTCCTGACGTCGTGAGGAGGTCTATATGTAGACATATAATAGCAGCTGGTTTTCAGCTATCACTGAACAACAGGCTAATACTTCAGCATACTGTGGTGTAAGGCCTGTCGATCTGTGTCAATTTTTGCTGTACTTTTAGCAGCTGGAAGACTACAGCCATCTCAAATACACTATTACCTTTGACAAGACTACGTTAAAAACTTTATCACTTTACAACACATAAAAGAGAAGCTGTGAGCAAATACCTCAAAGCACTCAAGTAACTGGATCAAATATAGGGGAAAGCTTGCAAGAGCCATCTTTTAATCTACTGCTTTTGAACAGCTTTAAGTTGTTTAAACTCAAAATGCAACATTAAAAATTTAAAGTGTCAGGAGCGACCCCTGCTCTAGTAGACTATTGGTATCTGAATGACAGTATTTCCATGAAAGTTACTTCTAATCACTACCAATTGTCCAAAGCAACAGAACCAAGATGTTAAATTTATCACAGTACTGTAGCCTGTAAGCTTAGCTCAACAATTTAAGACATGTATATTCCCCTCACCATCTCCATTTTAGAAGGCTGTAAAAAGATATTCAAGGCATTTCCAATGGACAGGAAAGCTTTGCATCAGGGTTCAATTACAAAACTATTTTGAGCAACTCTTTATAAAATAACAGCTACAACACGAAGTCATTTACAGTCTTGAATATACTTTCATGAGCTGAACTGAAAATTAGGAGATGTGGCTCAAAGTGTTTAGCAAGTAGTCTAGGACAGATCTCATCCACGGGTAAAGTATTCATTTCCACATACTTTAACATGGGAAAGAAACCAATCTCATGTTCGGTTATTTTTGTTTATTCAATCATACTTCAGCCCACAGAACCAATAAAAATATTATCCATGGCTACTAACTTGGAAGGGAGCAAGACAACAAGAAACTAATAGGGGAATATGCATTTGTGTTGCCTACTAAAGCCATGCTACAATTGAAATGGATATAACCCCTCAGCTTTATGTTTAAAGAGGCAAGTCAACTGCAGAAACATTTTTCATCAACTATTTTTACTTAAGTTTTCAATCCTAAAGAGTCACTTGATTTCTATAACAGCTCAGAATAGTCAAGGAAGCCGGTTTATAAGCTGTCCAGATGCATTTTCTTAAAGTGTAGTTACATATGTCTGTTTAGAAGTAGCCTGGCCCCTAAAATGGAGTCCAAAAAATCCATTTCATTTAACTGTGCCTGAGTCTTTTCTGAAGCTGACAATTTACAGCTTTCGCTCCTTGATAAAAATTGGAGTCACGTTTAGTTTTAGTATGAATTAGGTTAATGTCCAACACTATTTCCTTTTAAACAAGCCATATGCCTTCTGTGAAAATATGGACAATTTAATACCTGAAAATAATGGGTTCTTCAGCTACCTATAAATAAGTAGCAACGTTATCTTGCCAAGATTCCCATTGATTACACCTAACTTCCTAGTCTTTCTTCTCAAGTTCAAGGCTCCCCATATCTTACCTTACTCCTCCCACTGAAGTGGCAGTACTGCAGTTCAATTGCTACTCTGTGTACACTCATGTACATGTATGTTCAATTTTAAGCCTAGGACAATCTTATTTAATCAACGGAGCATACCTAAAGTGAAACAGGTGCCTCAAATATTTGCAGAAATTACTGCAGTACCTTAAAGATTGGTCTTTTTCAGTAAGAGAGTTCAAATCTTCAGATTTGTGTGGGCTAGGACTACTTTAATCAGCCATGCATCAGAAACGCCTAAAAATCGACTGTTGTCTAACACCATATGCAAGCCAGCAGTGTATTTTGTCAATTTGCTTAAGGGCTGATTAGGCCACAAATACATTTGTTTTAAACCACTGCAAAATGGCTGCCGACACTGCAGCCTAAATCCTCAAAATGAATTTAAGTACCTAGCTCCCTTCAGTGGAAGGGATCCTTCAGTGGGTTTCTGTGGAAATACAGCATCTTAATACCTCAGACACCCTGGAATTAACTTGCTTCTAACAGTTCAAAATTCCCAGTTTTAGCATTTCTAAACATATGTACAGCTCCAGTCCTTCCCTAAAAAGACCTTCCTCACAAACAAAAGCCTCTGTAGGACAATCCACAACATGGACTGCCCTACGCGACCTGAAAAGTTACCCTGAATGAGAAGAGAATTTAAGTCTCCAAACTGACTTCCAATATAGAGCATATTAAGAAACGTCAGTCCCGATGTAATGATTTACTGCGACTAAGCCCTAGACTAGAATCATCAATTCATTACTTAGATACCGTATGACAGCTAGCGTAGGTAACGTAACCTCTGACTTCAGCATTTTCCAAGATAGCAGTAATACTGAATTCAGAATTCCCATTCACAAGCCAAGAAACTAACTGAAAAACCTCTAGAGCAGAAATGTGCTATTAGTGCGTTGCAGGCTAGATCAGCCCATGATTTAACCAGTCCAGGAAGCTAAGAAGTGATTGGGCACTTGTTCTACCAACAATGAAGCTGGAGGGAAAATAAACTACTAAAGCTGTTTGAATTTCAGTCCCCAATGTTTTCAGCTACAGCTAGGAGTCAGAGAACTTTAGACTGCAAGAGGATCATACTTTTCCAAATCTGAAAGGATGCTAACAGATCTTCTAATGAAAATTGTGGATGAGAGCAGGCTCAGGAAGCAGTATTAGCTTTGCCCCCCAAAAGCTGATGTACAAGAGTCTTCAATGAAAACAAAACCACTACTTCAAACGCGTACTTTGAACGTTGTTATCAGCTCTGTTAACTTACTCTGATCCCTCCCACAACTGAAGACTTGCTCAGAGGAGGTTTGTAGACTGAGGTACATCATAAAAATCAAAAGCTTCATTTTCCCTTTAACTTAAAGTTGAACCGAAATCCACTTCTTCATAAAGAAAACGACCCGTTTACAAAGAACATACACCTAAACGATCACGCTTAATGATAGTAGTTTTTCACGTACAAGTCAGAAGGGCTGCTCAAGTACAGCACGTATCTAGCACTTTCCTATTTATGTTTAACATTAACTAGTTAGTATGGGCCTATAATTGCCATCTGTGGAATGGGAAAGGCTGGGGGAAGGGAGGCAGAAGTGGACTTTTGAAATAAAGTTCATCACTACAGCTCTAAATTATTCTGCCACTGTTGCCTCATTTTGTAAGAATTTTCAGGCAAGTTCTGAAGAACTGGGATACTATTTCAATGCGCAGATGAACAATTCTGGAAAGAA